CTTAATTGGCCTGGGTGTAAACCGCTATCTTCTGAATCCAGTGACAAGGATTGGCTAAGTGAAGAGAAGTGAGAAAATTTGCTTCTCTCCTTTCTCTTCAGATCTTTGGAGAGTTGCAGATCTACTGTTGACAACAAGTTAACCCACTGTGGTGTGTGAAGGCTCTGGGGGAGGTAAAACTCCACAAACAATAAGTTTTGAAAACTGCCCCTTCTGCTGCAGCTCTGATAGTTCTTAGGATTTCTCTTCAGATGTTTTGCAGAGAAGCAATTAATGTCAGTTTTTGATGAGCCACTGTAGCTAACAGATGCCCTTTTTTTTGCTATGCTAGCTTTGCGATGTTTGTGTCAAACGTTTGTGAAAACTCCCTCATTAGTAATTTTTTTTTACATTTCTATCGAAAGGCAAGTAGTTTTTGTCAGAATACTAGAAGTGTTGGTGTGCCTTTTTAAAATGCTAGTATCTGATACTTGTGGTTTAACAAAATAAGATGGCTTAGCAAATAAATTCTGAATCAGCTTCAAAGCTGAAGTGGATGTGCTGCGTATGTGTAAATTTGAGGACAGGAAGTTACGAAACACATCAGTGCTATGCTAGTTGTGGGACTGTAATTCTGCTTGTGAGTAGCTCTTGAGTGTTTTTCTTAAGTCAAGATGGCCCCTTTTTCCAAGAGGTCTTGGCTAGAAGCATATTAGGTTGCAAGTAAACATGGTTAGTTGAACAGACTTGAGTCTGTCTTGCCTTGGGTTCTTTATCCTTCTCCAAGTGAAATAGCTGTTCTTTAACAGCTTCAATTAAAGGACAGTGTACCACATATCTTCAAGAAAACCTGTGGGTTTAGTCTTGATTTCATACAGCAGGTGGTTCACCAGTGACCACTGAATGAAAATGGTGATTGAAAAACATTTTATTGCCTATTTACAAGTTAGAAAGTAGATACAAGTGGAGAAACAATAGTCTGGAAATTTGAAGTGTCCCTTACACCTGCTTTTTCAAGAATGCTGAGGGACTGCAGTGGTGGTATTGCATCAGATCCAGTTTTTGATGTCCTAATAAAACAGAGAGAGTGGAGGTGAGATATCAGTTGCTATCTGTGGATTTTTGTTTGAGATTTTTAATGGTGTGCTGCAGTGGCTGGTACCAGTGTGGTAAAAGTGAAGCTATAAATAGGTCGAGTTGATTTGGTTTGCTGAATAGTTTACATAGGGTTGTAGCTTGCTGACATCATAAATACTTATACTTACTGTGTTGGCTGATACTGTTTCTTGATGAACAGTTCATCATTTGTCTTCAGCCTTCAGTACTCTGGTGTGAGCAGGTCCTCCTGAATCTATGAAATTATTTGTATAGTAAAAAAAGATAACTTAGACTAGGAATTTGTCTTTTTTTACATGTTGCTGCTATGGTTTTCTAGACCAAGAATCTCACTTTTCTTCACGTGCTGCTTCAGTGCCTAAGCAAAAGAGGTATTTGAACTCAAAGACAGATATGAAGCTGACATTCATGGAATTAAGGCAGTCTGGATGGACAGACTGGGCAAGGCATTGGTGTTTCACAAAGCTTTGAGGGGCTGGGAATCACAGATTTTGTAATGCAGACTGATTTTTCTGTGGTTGCTTAGCATGTTGGGTTTGGTCTTGACAGCAAATACTTGGCTGCTAATGGAAATGTTTCAGACTCGTGATTCATTTCACTGTTTAAAAGGGAGATCCCGAAAGGGAACAATTAAATTACTTTTTGTATTACAGCATATGATCGTGTTAGAAATTGTATTTAGTGGAAAATGTTCCCTGCTTATACCAGGGGTATTGAAGCTGGTGGTTTAAATGCTTGAGTCCTTGTAAGTTGGTGGAAGCAATTCAGAAATGGTTATCAAAATGGAGTGAAGCTGCTTTCTATTTATTTACTCTTTCTTTGAATATTGAAATGTAGAGGAGCATGGGGGAAAATCCTTATTTTTACAGACTGTGTACTAGGTTGAGACTACTTTTACATTAAACTAATTGTGCAGCTCAGTAAGAACCAGCTGGAACAAATAGTTACCTGTAATTGTGATGTCTTGCAGTTCCTGATGTGGGTTAAAGAATCAGATGCACACAAGGAGTTAAGCTTTTGTTCTGTTTTCAGATGCCAAATGATAATTTAAACTGAACAATTAAGGTAGCAAATCTTCAGAAACATGGTATCAGATGTTTCCTGTCCCTTCCAAAAACATTGTCAAAAAGCATATTATACAGATAAGTTCAAAGAATATAATAGGAGATATAATATTAATTCTCCAAGTATTTTATCATTTTATTTGTGGAGTGTTAAGACTTTATAACTTAGGACAAAATTACAAAACTCAAGCTCTTTAAAATTCTTAACTTATTTAAAGGTGTGTAAGTTGAAAAAAAATACTGGGCTGCAAACTACTGTTCTGGTTCCACAGATACTCTAAATCACATAATCAGTGGGGCTGCAGACGAATCCCTTTATATAGTAATAAAACTGTAATTGTATAAAGCCTTTGCTGCTTCCAAGCAAAAGTACTTCTTTTTACTTCTAAACATGCTTCTTTGCTGCTTCAGCTCTAGCTTGTAGCCATTTATTTAAATGACTGACCATACATTCCACTATTTTGGATTGAAAACTTGACAAAAAGATGGACTGCTAGCCTAGCGTAACAGCTGCTGCTGTGAAAACCAAAGGTCCTGAAAAGCACTGTTGCCTGCAACATGGCATGGAGATCCTTGGTTATAGTCAGTCTTGGGAAGGCTCTTTGTGTAGCCTTTGTGTGAAAGGACCAGTTTGGTTCTAGTTGAAAAGACACATCTAATGGTTTGTGGTTGGTCTGTAATTGTCTGCCCAGTAAAACTAATTTTAGGGTCATCAGTCTCTTAGACCTCACTGTAATGGCCCACACAGTTGAAATTGTGGAAATTAACTTTGCAGGATCTGGATGCACAATATACTAAATACTGTTAATTCTTTCCTTGTATTTTGCTTGAAATGTGGCTTCATGGACAAAGTGGTGATAATAACTGCCACTGTTTAAAATGCAGAAGCTAAAGAATTGAGTGCATAGTACCAGTCAGAACTACTACCAGCTGTTTACTCATGTTCTTTTAGGGAATTTCTGTAGGACAGAAGAAATAATTTGTAACTTGTTCTCTACTCTGGAGTGAGAGAACAGGAGAACATTCAGTCCCCGCTGTTCTCATGTAAACATTATTTATTAAGAACATGCTCCTATCTAATGGTGTAGTTTGGATAACTTGCTGGTTAACCAACAGTAGGAATTAGGGAGATAAATGAATACACTGAACCATTTTCAAGAGTTAAGCATGAGCCTGCAACTGCTGTGCAGCTACTCCAGTCACTCCCATTAGGCTTTTCATATACATTTAAATGTATGTGTTCCTGTCCTGAACCACAGCAGTTATCCCATAGCTCTGTGAAGGGTAAATAAAAAATCTGCTTGTACCTCAGTTTTACGTTGTTGTGATACAAACCTGTTCAAAATTAAGATTTATAAACACTGTTGTTAATTGCATAGTATGAATGAGTTAAATTACTTGCTCCAAACAAATTTTAAATGAAAGCAGCCAGTTCCTTGTATTTCAAAATTTCTTTATGCTGAGGCTTCAGAGTATTTCTTCTGTCTTCCTGTAGATCGGGTCTAGCAAATAAACATTCAGAGATGGAAAGTCAGAGATAAGAAAATTCCTGAAATTTCTCACTCTAATGTAGGCCTTGATTGTAAGGCAGCACAGTCATATGACTCTCACGCCAGCTTGTGTCAGGTATTAGTCCCACACCACACTCCCTGCGTGATGTATATGCCAGTAACGCTAATTACAACTAGCAAGACCACATTCCTTCCCTCAGAGAAAGAGAGGGACTAGGCAACTTATGACCCATTTCCATTTTAAGTAGATGCTATTTTCAGAGAAGCCTGTTTGGGCTGAGTGCTTCCAGCTCTTTTACTATCAGACAGGTCTAGGAACAGCAGTTCTCATCCGAAAACTTAAGTTTGGGCTTGTTAAAATGAACCTTTACCCCCAAGCTATTAAAACACTTTTTACAGTATTAGATGACACTAATGAGGGCAAAGGCTGAGCCAGTACAAAGCACTAATGAGCAAACTACTTTAGTGCTAGAGGATTTTTTTGTTTTTTGTTTTTTTCTTTTTTTAAAATCTGTCAGTTAAAAGGCCTTCATTGGTGCCACTAATTCGCCGTCCCCATGCTGACAGCCAGACTATTCACTGGCACTTCCAGAGTTTTTTGACAGTTTTACTCTGGAAGTTGACACCTACTAACCGAATTGTCAGTGTAGGCTTGGCCTTGGTATTTGGCATCTTGAGTACCATTGAAGTAGCAACAGTGAATTTGCTTTTGTGGTAGTTGTAACAATATTCCATTCAACAGTGTTGTTTTACAAGGAGTAAACTGTAAAATAATGGATATCTACTGATACCTAGTCACGTAACTTTTAAAATAAAATTAAAGCATTTATATTTGTTCTATAGGTAACTGTTCCCTGTGAGTTGGTGTAAAAAATAACTCTGCTGATGAAATACAGCACTGAAATGACTAGTTCAAGGCATGTGCTCTATAAAATTTTTTCATTCCACTTTCTTCCATGGATCTTTTTCAGTGAACATAAGTGAATCATTGCACATGTTGAATGTGATGTGATGTGATGCCCTTTGTGCACAAAGTGGGGAGTTTGAAGGGCTGAAGGGTTTGGGGGGTTTGAAGTGACAGACCAGTAATTCATGCAGTGCACAGCTTAGACTGCCATTCACACTGCAGTCTGAGCAGGAGACATCTCTTCAATGTGGTGTTTGAGTGGGTATTCTTACTGGAGTGTCTACACTTCACCTGTTTATTGTGCATGAAACTTGATGGACTTTAGCACATTCTAGAATATTTATGTGTGTGAAATTTTCTGCTCACAACTCTTTAATTTGTAATTATTTTCTTAATCTTACAGGTCTAGGAAACCTCTTAACAATGGCAGCAAAATCATCACTCCTTAAAGTAATACTGCTGGGAGATGGTGGAGTGGGGAAGAGTTCCCTTATGAACAGATACGTCACCAACAAGTTTGATGCACAGCTCTTTCATACCATAGGTGTGGAATTCTTAAATAAAGAGTTGGAAGTTGATGGACATTTTGTTACAATGCAGATATGGGACACAGCAGGTCAGGAGCGGTTTAGGAGCTTGCGGACTCCTTTCTATAGAGGTTCTGACTGTTGCCTGCTAACCTTCAGTGTGGATGACTCTCAAAGCTTCCAAAACTTAAGCAACTGGAAGAAAGAATTCATTTATTATGCGGATGTCAAGGAGCCTGAAAGTTTTCCATTCGTGATACTGGGTAACAAAGTTGATATTGATGAAAGGCAGGTGTCTACAGAAGAGGCCCAAGACTGGTGCAGGAATAATGGCAACCATCCCTATTTTGAAACCAGTGCAAAGGATGCCACTAATGTTGCAGCAGCGTTTGAGGAAGCTGTTAGAAGAGTTCTAGCCTCTGAAGATAGATCAGATCACTTTATTCAAACAGATACCGTAAACCTCCATCGGAAACCCAAACCCAATTCGTCTTGTTGTTGACTGAAATTTCTTTTTGCCAAATTACTGTTGACTAGCTTGCTCTATAAAAGGATGGGGAAGGTGTAGTAGATAAAATAACAAATGGGTTTCACTCTGATGTTAAAATTGTAATATTCTGCTGCTTTCATGGGGGAGCAAAAGAAGAATTTCCATTCATGAGTGACCTGTTACTGAATTAGTGACACCTTCTGGTTAGGAAGATGTCAAGTAAAAACATAAGAATGTAATTTGCCAACTTTATTCAAATGATAAATACTTTGAATATAATTAAAACTTGAAAGTTCTAGAAGCACTACTTTGGAAAAACTGTTCTGGAATTCAGGCACAAAGATACTTTTATATGTGTATATTTTTATGAAATTGGCATTCCGTTTTTGTTTCATTAGACATCAGTTTCTTAACAATGCTAGATATTAAACTTCAGTCTCACTACATTCCTTTTGCTGTGAGTGGTACTTCATCTCTAATGTGTTTGACTTAATATAAATTACCTCCAGGTCTTCTAATTGCTTAATGTTGCTGTAATTTGTGTAGGTTTTTAAGTAGGAAATAAATTTCCTACATATTTAATGTCCATTTTTCTTTCATTTACTATTCGAATGCTGCACTAATGTTTCCATAAGCAAAATACTGATGATTTTTGAAGTTAATGTGTGTTTTTGCCTTAAATCCCATTCTAGCATGTTTCTGATCAATAAGGTGAAAAATCTTGAGTAACTGAAGTATAACCATTTTTAGTTATGGAAAAGAAATGCTTTATTCAGCTAGCTTTAATAGCACTTGGGAAGATCCACATTATGACAGATTTTAAGGAAAACTTTTAGCGCACAGCCTTAAAGTTCCAAACTTCTTGTTGCTGTCAAGCTGAGCTATGAATGTGTTTACCCGTAATATCTGCACTGTGAAACTAAGGATTGGCAATACGTAGAGAACTCAGGAAGCTCTTGACTTACAGTAGATTTTGACAGCTTTCAGCCCTAATACAAGCACATAACTGTGTAGATAGTGTTTGACCTGAATTTGATCCTTATTTAAATTGAAATTTTTAAGGTATGGACTTATAGAAGACATGATCTTAAATGTATGTTACTGAACTCGTTACGTATTTAATGGACTTTCTTGCAGTCATGCAGATAAAACCACAGAAAGTGCATTTGAGGCTTTTAGTTGTGGCTTAAGTGGTAGAATACCTGCATGAGAAATTATTCAGTATTGGCGCTCAGTAACCACTTTCCTTGCTATAGCAAAACTGATAGCGCAGTGTTGCTTCCATCTGAGTACTGAGTGCTGACAGGCATGTGTATGCACACCTGGTGCACTGCAGGAGGTCTGGCCATGTTATTTATTAAACACTGCTTCCTGTACAGCAGTGTTCTATGCCAGTAGAAGCCTTCTGGAGAGTACAGTAACAGCAAGTGTTTTCACTCAGAGCATCTGATTGGTCTGTATCAGTTGTAATTATTTGGAAGTAAAGCTTGGAAGAACAAACCCTTCTCGTCACTCTTAATACTTTTCTGAATGTATTTTACTTGTGCTTGAACCTGTCCAGGACAACTTTACTCTCTAGATCTGGTACTCGTGCTTAAAAGTAACACCTTTTTACCTTTTGTGCATTTCAAAGTCTGATTCATTCTTGTAGTGCTGCATGTACAGCAGCAGAACTGTGTTTTAAGCTTCAGACACTGAGCAGGTAAATGTAGGCTGAATAGCCACTTCTGTTATGTTTAATTTCTAGTGAATGAATGAAAAGATCTGTGAAGAAAATCTTAGCTAAATTCCTCTTAAGCTGAGAGGGCAAAAAGCTTTAGAAATGAAGATTGCTTGTGTTGGGAGCTACTAAGCTAGTGACATGCAATTGTTGTAAAATACTGCCCTACTAAAAGCTTCTAGCATTCATTTTAGCAGAGGTTAAGGTTAAAACAAAACAGGAGGTGAAGATACTGTGACTAGAGTACCATAGATACGATTCAAGTAAGATTGCTAAAAGGAAAAAATGAAGGATGTGAACCATTGTGGTCTTTGTGTCAAGGCATCCATCTGTGTTTTCCCATCTGTCCTCTTTTCATATAACATCATGGTTACCAAGCCTCCATCTGAGAAGTAGGTTTAATAAAGTTAAATAAAGTTAATCCCACAGAAGTGTATTACTCGTGCCCTGGGAGCTGCTGTACCACAACTGTATGCTGATCACAAAAGTGATTAGTAAAGATAAAGGAGGATGTACATGCTGTAGTAAATAAGACAGTGTAGGAATTATGTTGAGGTCAGGAATTGATCTCAGAGGGAGACTATAGAGTACCTAGAGAAACAAGAGTCTTCTGACAAGCAGTTATAGGTGACAGATAAAAAAAAATAAATCTTAATGCCTAATAACCATGCATTTCTGTACTTTGTAGAAGGCTTAGTATCAATCCATATGGATCAAGCTAGGCCCTTAGGCCTTATGTTTCCATTCGCTGATTTGTTTGAAGTGATAATGTACATCATTTATTAGGGGATCCTGTTAGCAGTAGAGTTCTGTAGTGACAGAGCATACTATGCAACATGTATGCCAAGTTCCAGATGTCCTTTAAAATGAGGAGCAAAAACTACTGTCATGGCAGATTGGTGGGAGTGCTGAAAGCTCTGCATGTTGGAACAGTAAGCAGAATAATAAGGGGGCAGAAGAAACTAGCTAGGGCAGCTGACAGCTCATGTTACAGCAGAGGAAATCGATGCTTAGCATAAGACTGCTGCCAGGAGCAGCCTGTTGGCTTCAACAGCTCCAGCAGATCTTACTTAAAGTCTATGGCAGTTACCTAAACAGTAATAGAACCTTGCACAAACTGAAGTGTAACTTGCATTTCCAGCTCAGATTTATTAAGGCTGAGTCATGTTCTTAGCTTATGCTGATGTTCTCGTTTCCTCATGCTTGATTTTTATACCACCTAGGGTAATTCTAGTCCCTTTAACTCATAAACTTTTTTACTGCCTTTAATGCATAATACAGATTATCTCTGCTTTCTCCTGCTGCAACAGACTTCATTTGAATTCTTATTCCCAAGCCTCTGAGATGGGGCAGGAGCATAATACTTGCAAAAGTGGTGTCTCCTGCTGTGTCCAGTGAGGAACTAACTGTTCACTGTCTGAAGCATGCTGGAACTGCATCTTTCAGACCTGTGGCAGATTTGTGACTACAGTTGATCACCAGATCATTTTCACCCAGATAGCAGTCTTAGCTTATTGTAAAGCGTCGCAAACAAAAGTATAAACAAGTGTTCCTCCATCTGCAGAGCACCTGCAGCTACCTAGCCAAGGTCCTTCAGTTGTGTCACAAGATAACACTCCTCAACCAAAGTCTCTGTAATGATAAATGTAATAATTAGTACATAGTTCTGCAGTGACCAGTAATAGTCTGTTTTCATAAAGCCTAGATGTACCTGAGACTGCATTTCCCACTTACAGGTCCTTTAGTCAGAAGAATGAAGGAAAAATGTATGGAGGGTGTGAGAACAGGCACCATTTAGCTAACTGTCTTCAGGCATCAGGCAAGAGAGAAAATGCTTCCATTTTACTAAACTTCCTACTGCAGCAACAAATACAATTATTAAAAAATGCAGTTTCTAAAAGTGGTGGAAACTTAGTGCTAATCTTTCACCTTTGCCAAATCTTTTCTTAACTGCTATGTATGTGATTATTTAAGTATTTCCTCAGTGAATCTTAACTGTTAATATTTTTCTAACTATCATGCTCCTGTGGAGGAAGCAGAAAACAGCATCACAGCTGCAACTTAACATGCCCTTGTCATGAGTGAGAATGCTTTACCTCAAGTATTTTCATATGTATATAGCAAAAAAATAAAACTGATTTATATGAAATTGAATGACATTGCATATCAAAATGCTGTACCATGCAGTTTGTGTGAAATAGCACTTCAAAGGCAAGAACTCCCACCTTCACTTGCCAACCCACCAGGTAGCCTCACTGTGGGAATCCAGTTCTCTGAATCCCTTGAAGTACACTCAACAGGCATTGATACTGCATCATTCCACGTTTTATTTAAGGTGAATATGGCAACCTTTATAGCATGTTCTTTGTTTCTCATGGAATATTTTACAGTGACAGGTTAACAATAAGTGTAGAAATAATGACTATACATTTATAGCACATACACATGTAGTCCCTTTAATTATACAGACTGGGCAAGATGTACTTTTTAGAACAGTGTGCCACTTCCTTTGGAAATTACTTTTGAGACATTTTTAAAAGAAAAGCCCAAGAAAAGAAATTATACAGATTTGCTGCAAAAGGAAACAGAATAAGAGATTGCAAAATTAAATGCATATATAGCAAGTGACCCATTTAAAAACTACTGGTTTGGAATGATCGCAAGTTTTGCAAAGGGGTCCCTAACACATTTTACAATGGTATAGGAGACAAACAGGCCACATAATGCCTTTCTGAAACTTCCACAAATAGATTTTCATGGTTCAAAGATCCTACTCTAAATATATTTTCAAAAAGAAAATTTCAGCACCTGCAGAGGTAATGGAAAGAAGTGGATTTAAACATGTACATTTAGTTTGTTTTCTTTTTCCACGTGTGAATTAGAATTAATGTCAGGGCAGACATGGCTGTTCTGGTGTGCTGGTTCATTCATCTCGTTGATGCAACACTGAAGCTAAACATGTATTGCACTAAACATCTGTTGAATTTGAAATGACAAGCTTTTAAACTTTAAGGTTTTTTTTTCCTCAAAACTTCTTTGAAATATTGAAGACACAGATTTTCTGATCTATACACTTTATTGAGCACTTTATATATACATACTATTACAATATAAATAGGGACCTGATTTCCTACCACAAAGTGTAAGGTTAATCTGGTTAGTCTGCAGAGGGAGCTCTCTAGCAAAGGAATGTAAGCAGGAAAGTTTATAACAAAATTAACCACTTGGGCCAAACAGTCAAGAAGTCCCTTTTGCTCATCTTAAATCAGATAACTGGAGATGCCTTTTCTGTTTAGCTCTGATTTCCTCCCACCCTGAGTAAGAGGTTTACACTTTGCATACACATTGACACCCAAATGTATCACTTAGTACCTGTGCAGCCCCTGACATTTTTAAACTTTGTTTTCATACCACATAAAGGGAAACTTCTTAAGATACACATTTTAACCAGAGAAGCTTGGTTGCTCTTATATATATTGGCAGACAGAAAAAGCTGCTTCAGCATCCAATTTGTCAGTCTTCAGAAGATGAGTACCAAGCATGCAGAGAACTAACCAGAAGAACTACAGTTCAAACAATCAGGAAAGCATGGAAAAATCACTCACTCGGGAAATTCATTCAGCTTAAAAGGTGTTTCTTCCCAAGGAACTGGACTTTCCTTTCAAAGGCACTGGATCGAATAGGAGAATTGAGTTCATAAAATGGATTCATTGCAAACTGGGGAAAGAAGAAAAACTCATCAATAAGCACAATGCCAGCCCTGGAAAACATCATTTCAGATGACATCTACTTCCAGCCTATTTAGTGCCACTAAGAGCACAGAACTCCTGAACAGTCCCTGCTTTCCAAGCCCTTGCATTCCCCCCATATATGTGCAGAGCCATTCGTTAGCACCAGCTTCTCAGAACAAATCCATCACAACACTGGTGAAAATTTCTGTTTTGGAAGTGGGCATCATCTGAGTGCCTGCAGGAGGCCGAGATGGTGATGCTTCTCATCAGTGCTTGTCGCTGCCCCATATAATGGAAGTGCCCCATACAATGGCTGAGAGAACACAAGCTATGTGTTCTGAGAGCACAGCACTGCTACCAGGCTCTGTAGGATGGTAATTCACTTTTATTATCACCATTAGTGATAGAATACTGCCTCAAAAGAAGCTGTCCAACTTCTCTGTTGCCAGAGAAGCTGTGGATGTCACACCCCTGGAAGCGTTCATGGCCAGGCTGGATGTGGCTCTGAGCAATCTGGTCTACTGGAAGGTGTCCCCTTCCAACCCAACCCAACCCAACCGATTCTATTCTATGAAAAGCACTGGACTAAAATGAAGAATTAATTCTGAAAGAGCACACTTTATAACAATTTATAAAAATATGTTCTGTTTAATGCAAAATACAGCCTTTGGACTGCACAGGTGATTATGCCCCATGAGACAAAAATGCTCAAACAGGCATGTCTGAGCATACACAGCAGAACACACTTAGAAGTACTGCAGAAAGACCATAAGAAGTGGGTTCTTACCTTTATATACAACTCATATACATCATTAAAGAAGTTCTTAATTCCGTCTTCCTGCCTTACATCATGAAGCATTATAAATCTCATATGTAAAGCAATTAAGGAAAATAAAACTTTCACAAAGAAAACAGATGTAACATATCCTGAGACAAGAATTTACACCTAATTCTGCATGCACTTAAAATGTTTGGCTCTACATGAAATAGCAGTGACTCACAGGATGATGCATTTAAAGAAGTAACTGAAGCAGTCAAATTTGGAAAGCATTACCTTTCTATTTTGAAATTCCCCTATTTGAAAATAATCACCTCTCTATTCAAGGTTGTTCTTTTTAAAGTTATGTGATTTTGACACCTTTGCCATGTACCCCTAAAGTTAAAATGACACTCAATGTTACTTGCTATGTATAACAAATGTTTCACAGCAAACACTCCCAGGACTACCTGTACATAAGATCAAACCTTGACACTGCACTTTCATGACTGGTGTGACTGACACCAAGCATCTTCATCCATGCTTCTCCTTCCTACCTTCAAAGGAGTGGATATAAGATTGCTCAGACCCTCCCATAGCTCATTCCTCTTCTCCATGTGAGCTCCACATTTCATTAGGCTATTTCAGCTTCTCCAAAAGTAAAAATCCACCTTTTCAACTGTTCCCAGTTTTAAACAGCTTCTGTGCCTCCCAACATGGTTCTTCCTGAAGCTGGTGACTCTCTCTAACAATAATAGTGAGTAGCCAGAGAAATCTGTTTCAAACTTATTTTATCTAATGCTCTGAAAAAAGGCTTTTCCTATAGAAATATAGAGAAGAGGGAAGGATATGTCCAGCTGTGACAAAGGCAGAAACAAACCATTCGTTAAACTTGTCCACAGTCTTCAAATACATGTTGTTAGAAAGCCACATGTTCTCATCTACTAGGTCAAGAGCAGCATGGGCAATGAACTGGTTGAGATGGCGATGATCATCCTAATGTATTTCCAGAAGACAGAGAGGATTAGTAATTCAGTGAAAGGAATGAAATGCAAACAATAATTTGCTCAAGTTTGTAAGCAACCAGGGCTCAAGTTACGTGAAGTCCTATATACCCTTCTATTCTGCTACATATGTGCCATCCTGTAATTAAACAAAACTAGTAAGCATTGTCATGATACTTGGTTTCAAAGGAGAAAAAAGGTCATAATAAAAAGGTGATAATAAATAATAAAACCAGTCCTGAGAACAGCAAAACCAATAAACCCTACATTTAAAGCTCAGGAATGAATTCAAGCATGAATTCTTTTGTTTACCAATGGGCAATCTCCTCCTGCTAGCTTACTGCATAACAGGCCCTGACAAAAGTATTCTTCTCCTCCTCCTTACAGTCACCTGTTTTTGTGAAATTTAGAGCAATGTAGAAGTTTTTGGACTGCAACGTTTCTGTCAAATTTGGCAGAAACTGAATAGGTTAGAATTTATAAATGCTGGAGGACAGATTGGGAAAGCAGAGACATACAGAGGAAAGATGTACTGATAACATCACCTAAAGATTCTCTTTTTTTTCTGGTTATTTACCTAGAAACAGGATTGTTTAATTGTTTTGGGGATTTCCTTTTACCTAAAGTCTAGTGCAGAGAAGCATCCTGCAACCAGTATTAAATATACACTTACAGATGTAAATTGCACCTCTTCCTATAATAACCACAAATGACCTTCATGAAAGTGAAGGCAGCCTTTGGCCCTAACCCTAGGGGCTGTGTAGGCAAGGAGCCTACTTTGGAGTCTACTTTGTAGACAATTCAGAACATCAGAGGACATCTGCTAAGAAGAGATACAGGACTAAACTGTACTGTAAGCTTTTATTAGACTGGAAAAATCAGTAGTCTTGCACTGTTTCTCCTAACACAGAGGTGTGGCAACTGCCACACTCACACCTGTGTTTTTCCCCCAAATCAAGTTTGGCTCAGGCTGTTAACAGCTTTGCAATTCCATTAAACCATACTGAGGAAGACACTAAGTAGGGAAGTTAAAGGGGCAAAACCTTGTGCTGATTTACCACCTGCATTACATAAACCACTTGCCTCAGGCAGCTGTGCATCTGCACTGAATTCACTCTGCAGTGGCATGTCTCAGACAGAAGTGATGGCTGCCAAGACATACTAATGTCAACTAGTTCTCCTTCAGTGCACACGAGGTTTAGATTCTCTCTCAGGAAAAAATTTAGTACTTCAACCTCTGTCAGACAAGAAGCTAACCTGAGCCAAGTTACTTTCATTAGCATAATGCAGAAAATTAATTTTTCTACTATCTGACACATCCTCACACTAAGCCTAGTCTGAGTAGTCTTACTTATGATCTTTTATAGGACATTACTTCAAAATACAGGTGATGCCATGTGGTTCAAATCAGTGACAAAAATACTTCAATTTTCGGATGCACTCACAGATCCATGCACTTTGATTCTTAAGTCTGTTTTCCCTTTGATGTAATATCCCTATGCACAGATTTGTTCTTTTCTCACTGAAAACACTGCTACTGTGAGTAGTCTCACATTTCTCACATTTTCAAAGTCTTCATTTATCAATACAAATTTTAAGCTTTTCTACTTAAAAACAAGCATGGTTAGTGAAGCTGATTAAAAATTAAGATATTTTAGCATAAAAAATAAAGGACTGACTAGAGATTACAATTTTATATTCCTTACCGTATTAGTGTATACAAATGCCTTAAAAGTAAGTAGTACTAAATAACAAACAGCTATATTAAAAGCTCTACACACTAAGAGAAATGACCAAAACATAACTAGCATATATACTCTTTAACATGTAGCAGCAAGCATTAAAAGAAGCTGTGCTTTATGAAGAACTAATGATCTGGCAAAGATTTTTTTAAAGAGACTTGAGAACTCCAGAGTTCTACTCCCTATAACAAAGTTTATGTTAAAAAAAAACAAACCCAGAAAACAGTAGATACTATTTTTAACAACATGCTGGTTATGCTTCTAACATGCTGTAAAATTATTTAAAATCTGCACTATAATTACATCATAGGAGTGTCACAGGAATAAAAACACACCTTGGACTCTACTTTTCCAGGAGGCAGAAATTCCATTTCAAATACGGGATTATCATGATGACCAACTATCACGAAGTAGAAACTTCCAGACATTCTTCAAAACAGTGCTCCTTACAAGAAAAGACAGACATGCTGATGAGTCTATATACAAACTCTTCATCCATGTGGAAGTGCTCCTAAAATTCAGCCAACATGCTTCCCGTTCAGAGTTAGCAGAGGGTGAAGAGTGATAAACACTTTCTTAGGTACACGCGAGTAGGGGGTGGGGAAACACCCTTAGAAAGCGGAACACCTCCTGGAAGCGAATATAATTACCGGTACCTAGAAACGCTTATACTCCTCCACTCACAGGCGATTTATTC